TGAGAATGCATTTCAGAAGAGATAAGAGAATTGCCTTTTAGATAACTATGTAGTTCTGAAGATACATAAGATAATGGCCATTAGCTACATTGCATATTCTGTTTTCTTTTTCTTTAGCTCCTTTTCCTTCTCGTATTCTTATTGCCCCGTGAAGAAGAAACGGAAGGAAACCACAGGATTACTAGGTAGACTAACATTGTAATACTTTTTCACATATGAAGCGAAGTATCAACATCTGAAATATCATCATGGTAAGTTGTGCATATGACAATGTCTCTGGACCATAAATGCTCCAATAGTGGAGTCTGAATGGCCTGAACTTGGGTATTCCTGCTCTGCATACTGGCTTCTCTTTCGAGTGTACACCGAAGAGGCAGCTGTGAAAGCATGAGTTCAGGGTGGAAAAGTGATCTAGATGGCACTAAGATATAGCTGCATTGATCTACCTTGATTCAAGCAACATCCGTAAAAGCTCTTTCTCCTGCCTCATCTCCTTGGCTCTCTCCAACTGTCTGAACCTTTCTTGCAGAAGAGCAATGGATGGATGAACGACTGTTGGATCAATCTGTCTATCTCCACTCATTGGAAGATGAAGAGTACACTTTAAGGAGACCTCAAATGCATATGCTCATAATGTAGGACATAGCTAGGACTTTAGATGATTATTTTAATTCATTCATTCCGGCTATATGATTCTGTACGACTATAAGTTTGGAATGGACAAAGGCAGCTGAGCTGCAAAGTGGACGGACCTTCCCATTATATTTAGCTTTGAACATTCTCTTTTTTTCATTTGTGGACAACACAAAGCTTAAACGCTGTGAAAACAATTCGGACTTTGATGTTTTTATCAAAGAAAACCATTTTATGGTGAGGAGAGAAAAGAAGAAGAATCTACCAAATCCAAGCCCTACTTTCTCTCTATACATGTTCTGTTTTGTCTTGCGCTTTTGGATGGAAATGGCATGGAAGATGAAAGTTAAGACATTAGATTGGATCTGTGGTTGTTGGGGGGAGTGAAATTTGAAATGCAACAGGTACCCTAAAGCTAGAGATATAGATATCTCTCATAACCCAAAAAAACAAAAAAAAAAAAATGGTTTCTCATGAATTTGGGATAAGCGTTTATTAAAATTCTAGTTAAGTGCAATCAATACAAAGAGGTTTGTTTTCAAATATATATCATTCATTGAATTTGTTGAATGATCTTATTAAATCACATTTAAATTCATCCGTCAACATATGCAATTAAGTACAGAAAACAATTTAAAAAAATAACTCTTAAAAAATAATAAAAGAGAGGAGGATAAAGAATTTTTGATATATCAAGTTTAAAAGTTTTTTTATATTTATTTTTACAATTAAGTCTTAATATCACTCTTAATAAAAGAAAATGGATTAAAAAGTTTGATTTTTTTTCTTTCATAAGTAGTAGTTCATAATAATATAAAAGAAGGCAAAAAAAA